GGGGGGGGGGGGGGGGGGGGGGGGGGGGGGCACGAAAAAAAGGGAGTTTTGCTGACGTGTACCAACAGTATGAACGAGTGTCGATGGCGAGCGTTCAGCGTGGGATTCACTGGTTAGGAGCCGTAGGTGTTCCGTCGTGTCAACGCAGGTCGTGGGTGCGTACCCCCACACCACATACATACACCGACGTTGCAAGAACGAGACTGCGCGCATTGAGGCCTTGATGCAAGCGCTCTAATCTGCCGTTCCTCTTCCTTCGTGTGGCCGTAAGATGTTCAAGACTTTCGTGTATAGATCGAGCAGGTAGGGAGGGGGGATTTTGTGGCGTACACGTGAGGGCGCACACAAAGCCGCATGGTGGGTGTTCCAAAAACATGATTTTGTGCCGTAAACTATTACACACCGCTAGGTTTGTCCTCATTACATCTTAAGTCGCACTTGGATCGAGAACCGCGGGGTGTTGGAAGTCCGCAGAGGAGGAAGGTTGCAGCGGTGCTCGTGAAGAGACATCATCTTCAGTGACCGGGAGTGATCAGTAAAGAGCAAAACCTCATGAAATAGGTTGGGTGCTACTGCACAGTTTTGAACGGCGGTCGACGGTCACAAAGAGATGTTGGACCGAGAAGGAAAAGGGCCTCGGTACGATCGAGACCCCGTAAAGGCGGTACACCCCAAGCCATCTCGGAAGGTAGGACAATTCACCAGAAACTCTCACCGTCTCTCGTATGCCTCCATCTGCTTCACCCTAAGGTACTCTTCCTGCTGCTCCCTCTCCGCTCGGGCACGGGCGCCCGCCATCTGCCCCCTGAGCTTGGCGGTGTTGTCTAGCAGCTCCTGCGCCCCGAGACGAGAGTAGGGGACGTGTGACAAAGTAGTGCTTTAAACAAAAGAGAGTTGTGAGAGTAGCGTTTACTGTAGTCAACCAATATATTGCAATGGCGGGCGTCTACCATGGTGCGCAGGGTGACGCAACTCACGCACACGAGGCAGACGAAGAGGGAGGTGATACTTTGTCGCCCCCAATGCAATGAACTCGTTCAGCGTAGTTTTAAGTTCTTGCTGAACTTCCGTCTCGACACCGTAACACATACGCTACACTTAATACTTCTAAATAGAAAATTTACTTCACGTGTTTCTTGATCCGCGTAGAAGAAAACATGCTCATGTGTCGCACGCACGTCTCCTCTCTCTATCTTCCCGTCGAGGCGCCATGCCCCACGTATCGCCTTCTCAAACCAACTCGAGCAAGAAACATCTCACACACCTTCGTCTCAACTAATCCGTACTAGGACATCACGTTTTCGCACAATGCGCTGTAGTCTACCATATTCCACACATAAAACTTACCTGGCGTTTGCGCATTTCTTTCTCCCTCTCCCGCTCTTCCTCCGCCAGGAAACTCTCCCTGTCGAGCCTTGCCTGCTCCAAGTCGGTGGCGAGCTGCTCGTCGTCGCGGAGCGCCTTGAGGCGGATTTGCTCCTGCCGACCACGGTGCACCTGACGCAGACACGAACGACGGGTAAAAATAGGACGTGACCAAAATGATCGACAGGTGATGGTTTGGACAAGGTGGGGATATAAATTGTTGTTGTTGTTGTTGTCTTCACATGAAATCTATGGATGGGATAAACAGGCGGGCAGGTATATAGGTGGACGGATGAGAAGCATCACAGCTCGGCATAGACGGACCGATAGATCTGAAGCAATCTGCAGACACGACCGCTACAGAGGGATGGACGCAAGGAAGGACAGCTTGGACAGGTACATGGGTGGACGGGTGAGAAAGGATGAGGGAGGGGTGGTCACATGGACAGATCCGCGGATCCACACACGTCAGGGGGGCGGAGACAGGTCGGGCGACCGGGATTTGGACAGTTCCGAGTCTACAAAACCGTTTGGCGAAACAAGTGTTCCGAGGTGGTTGGTAGAAGCTGTCAGTAAAATTTTCGAGGTTTTTGTCACAACTGCAGAATACAGGTTTGTTGTTGAGAAGTTCTCCTGCCTTGTTCGGGAAAAGTAGTTCTGGACCTTAAGAGGCCCGGTCCCGGTTGAATGGTGTTGAACATGGAGGCGACAACAACAACAACAACAACAACAACAACAACAATAACAACCACCACAAACAATAATAACCACCACAACAACAACAATAACAACAACAATAACAACCACCACAACAACAATAACAATCACCACAACCACCACAACACCTGCTTCATGAGGGCCTCCCTAGCGTCGTTCTGCGCCTTGAGCTGCGCGTCCCTCTGGTCCCAGATGCGAGTCTCCGCCTCCTGTCTGATCTCGTCGTACTGAGCCTCGTCCGCGGCCTCCTTGGCCATCTGCTCCTTGAGATACTCGTTGTACTGGCGCAGCACCTGCCGCCGTACGACGGGTGTAGAAACGAAAACCATGGACATCACACATATGGAGGAGAAGGGGAAACGAGGTTAATCAAACATAGGTGAGGAGGGGAAACGAGGTTCATTATGTCCAAGATAGGAACCAACTGAAAAAAATCGTGCTGTGAGGGGAAGTTGGTGTGTGCCTCCTTCATGTCTCTACTAGGAGCAGAACCTTGCTGAACACCTGTGAACAGCATTCGATCGAAACCGGCAAACATGAAACAACAAAAATGGTATAGCTCTGATCGTGTAAAATGCTTCAAAGAAGAAAAACACGGAGAAAATCGAGGGCATTGCTCCCCCATCCCGTCGTTGCTACACCAAGATGCGAAAGGTGGCTCGAAAATTCAGAGAGAAGAGGAACGCGATAAAGAGCACCCGACTTCCGGCGGTGTGCCTAACAGAAGCATGAAATTACCGGGGGCCCTCCTAGAGATAGATCAAGGAACACACAAACATGACAATGGTAATCAGCATTGTCCTCCCTCCCCCCCCATATCGTCTCCTACCCTCTGCTCCTCCTCCTTCTTCGCCTTCTCCTCCGCCTCCCCGGCCTTGTCCTTCTCGATCGCGTAGTCCAGCAGCACCAGGTCCTGCTCGCGAGCCTGCTCCGCCGCCACCACACGCATCTCGCGCCTGGCCTCGTTAAAGTCTCGCACCTGCGGGGCCCCACATAAAAAATCAACCAATCAGATCAGCCGGTGGTTGACCGAAGGAGTACACACGACAGTACTGTAAAACGAACGCCCACATGTTGCGGTAAGAAGCGTCTCGTTCAAGGAAAGGAGAAAAGAACGAGGAAGCTGAGCGCGCGGCGGAGCGGAGCGTCTCAAGCATCTGCTGGGAGACAGTAGTCGCATCTATTTGGCATCGTTAGTACGAGAGGCCGACGCTGACCCATGTAGGAGAACGCTATCGGTCGATTCGAGCATCACACGGCGGACAAGGCAGGACGAATCAGTGTATGAGCGCGTCGTTGACTGAAGCAAACAAAGAGCGATTAAACATGCAGCGCTACAATGCGGCGTATGTGAGAGGAAGTTTACCGGGGGGGGGGGGGGGGGGGTGCCTTGTCCGGGGAGACGAAGGAGAACGCAAGGAAGACCGAGAGTGAGGTCGGAAAATCATGTTGAATATCGCGTCTGCGTCGCCTCCTCCTCGTGCAAGCTCGAAGCTTTCCCGTTGAAACGCTCGCCGAGCCACACAACGAGAACCGTCCAGGAGGAGGTCTATATGAGGAAACTATCGAAGGTGGTTCTATCTAGAGCAGCGGAGGTATCGCAGCCCTGTTTCGTGACGTTAGTACGGACAAGAACATGTGTGTGTGTGTGTGAGGTCCACTCCCCTCAACCGCTCGTAGTTCACGGCGATAGTTTGCAGGTGTGGTGGTGCTGAAAATCGTCGCTGTGGGTATAATGGAGTGTCTCCCTCGTTCGTCTAGCCAGAAGCTCGATGATTTGAGGCTTTAGTTTTCGTTTTACAAGACCGTTGTCGTATCGTCATATCGATCACCATTAAGCAGGGATGATGTCCAAAAAGCGTACAGGTGCCCCATGATGACAAAAAAAATCGTCACCTCCATTGCCTTACCACCAGAATGGATGTGTACCGTATACCCACGGCTGTACCTGTCTGCAGTTGTGCCCGATCGATCGGCCATAAGAGTAAACCCATCCCCGCGTTTTCATCGCACACTGCTGTGCTCGAACAGTGACATTGCCAGCGAGGAACATCACAAGAGCTCTTGGGCCACATTCAACATGCACGACACCGAACCAATTGACCCGTGCCGCCTGGGAACCCCTGGACAGCAACCACCACAGCAAAAATAAACCTCCGAGCTTACCTCTGCCCCGCGCGCGTGGGCCTCCTTCTTTTTCGCCTCCGCCTTCTCTTGCTCGGCCCTGACGATCGCCCTGAGCTCATTGAGCTCTTTTAGGTCGTCGCGAGCGGTCTGTTCCCACAGCTGTCGACGACGGTCGGCGTTGTAGGCCACCTGCGTGTGTGTTGAAAGGGCGGGGATGTACAATAGCGTGCTTGCGTTGTGATGCTGTTGTGCAGTCGTTTTTCTCCGTCGATATCTTTGTTGTTGTTGTTGTTGTTGTTGTTGTTGGTGGTGGTGGTGGTGGTGGTTGGTGTTGGCATGTTCAACAATCGCACCACCCTCGCGTACAATGAGGAGGTGGCCACGGAAGGATGCAGAGACCAAGGGTAATTCCAAGAGGCGGTGTTGGTCACCCGACCAAAATTGATACCATTGACTTTCTTGCATTCGACAGACCTCAAAGTAACGCATTTTCCTGACAAAATCGCCTTTGGCCCACTGAGCGCACATGTATGAGTCGGAGGGCCACCACGCCGAGAGATGCGGGAGAGTGAACCAACCCAAAATACCAAGCCATACACAAAAAAACTTGTGTTCAAGCATGCCTCCTTGCGACGAAAAACCAACACAGCGGTCGACGACTACGCTCACGCAACACACTCTGAGGATAGCCGGAACTCCCCCGGAGAAGCATTCAAGAAAAGAAGCGCTAAATTGGGGTCACTGACCTGCGTGTTGAGGTCGCTGCGCATGAGCTGGTTCCTCCTTTCCCTCTTTTCTTCGGCGGCTTTCTCCTGTGCCTCCAGGTAGGCGATGCGCTCGCGGATCTTTGCCATGTGGAACTCCTCTTGCCTTGCGTTCTCCTAAAGAACACCAAGACAAACGCAAAAAAGAAAAGAAAAAAGAAACATGAACAAGGAACAGGGGACGTGAAGTAGAGCAAGGCTCCACGGCAGAACAACGGGCATTCCGTAGGACAGAAGTTGAAAGATCCAAACACGGACAACCTGTGCCTTATCCGCTATCACGACGTCTGTGTCGTGACGCAAGAGGTCGCCGTGGACCACAAGGGTCCACCAAAACACGTCGGCTGCGTCACCCAGCGTCAGCTACATACCTCGACCGTCCGACAAACTATTTGCTCGTGTTTGTCGAAGGGCAAGTGCAGCAAGGACGGTTTCTGTTTCGAGAAGATATTGCTCTTCAAGAAAACGCGGACACCCTCCCTTCGGCACGGAAACCCGACAACAGTCATGGCACGCGAATATTGTCCGGTTGATGTGCAGCCCGGACCATGGAGACATCGGGTAGCGGCCAAGAGGGCCTTTCGGGCGAAGACAGCAGCAACGGCGACAAACGCCAACAGCAGCAACGACAACGACAACAGCAGCGGCAGCGGCAGCGGCAGCAACGACGTCGACGACGACGCTAGCAAGCAGCACTTGCCTCCTCTCTTGCAGCCTTCTCCGCCACCTGCTCCCATCGCTGCGCTGTTACCCACTCCGTGTTCGCCTTCGAGTCGAGGGTGCGAGCGTCGTCGCAGGCATCGCGCCACTGGCGGTCGTAGCACTCCTGGACATAGTTACGCCTGTTGTTGCGATTGCGCCAACCGCGCGGAATCGTACGAGAGGGAGAAGCAACGAGAGAGGGAGAAGAGACGTGAGAAACACAGACATCGGAACACACGTGGCGAGAGAGAGAGAGAGAGAGAGAGAGAGAGAGAGAGAGAGAGAGAGAGATTGATAAGAGTGACAACCAGTGATAGAGAGAGCAAGAAGAGGAGAGAGAACAGAAATACAGACAGACAGACAGACAGAGAAAAAATACAGAAGATGACCGAAAGGGTTGGGGGGCACAGGGGACACGACGACCAAGAAGCAGTTCGAGTGCCGTTGTCTCAAGAAAAAAGCATCGCAACACTACCATTCTCCCCAACCCAAGCGACTCCCGAGGGGCGGGCAAAACTGCTTCGACGCCTAAATAGCCTATACCTTGCAGCCTCCCTGGCGTTCTTGAGCTTGGTGGCCTTATCTAGGATGCGCGTCTTTCGCTCCTCCATGGTCTCCGCGCTATTGAGAATCTGTTCGCGGTCGGACGATGAGACGAGGGAACGCCGAAAGGCGATGATCGTCGATCAAGGCAATTTTAGTTATGAAACGCGGAAGTATCTATTTCGTCCAGAGAGAGATAGGGAGCACACTTAGCATCCCAGACGTGATCTTACACCCGGAGTGCGAGGAAGGGAAAGCAGCGCGCGGGGCTATCCTTGGACGAAGAATCATTCACCGCTTGGAGGTTGTATGTAGGTGCCGGTATATAGAAACATGCGTCTGGAGGACGAAAAGCAGGCGCCATCCCTCAGAATAACAATCGTCGTATATATTTCCGAGCCTTTTCTCTGATGCACAGCGTCAGGTATCGAAGTTGAATCTATGGTCTTACGCAGACGTTTCAACACATCGCGCAGGGCAAAAGAGCAAGAAGAGTACATCGGGCGGCACGTGCAAGGATGGTTGCGGGCACACCCTTCTGCGGCCCCAACGCAGAGAATCTACTGGCCACTCTTCTTGTCACCACAACAAGTGTGTTGTGTCCTGGACTACTATTTTGTATCCCACGACCAAAGTGCATGCCATTCAGATCCAATTTTTCCACAACAAAGTGAAAGCCATCCAGACCCAAAAGAGAGCACCCTACGGCAAGCACCTCGTGTTCCCACTGCTCCATCTCCAGGTTGTAAAGGTCGGCCACGCGGCGCCTCCGCGCAAGCAGCGCATCGGCGTCGGCTCCTTCCAAGCTCCGCACTCGATCCGCGCCCGCTCGAGAGGCGATCGCACCGGCCGTCTTGTTCTCCCAGTTGGCAAACGCGATGACCTTGAGTGAGGGGGTCGGGGACATGGGTTAGTTGCCCACGGAAATATCGCGATGGGAGGCTTGGGCTTGTCGTGAAGGGAGGACAGGGCCGGCTGGGGGGAAGCACAGCAACGAGAGACACAAATACCACCACCTACGACGCTCCTGCAGTCAGTGATTTCGCGGAGATGATTCAACGCTTTTGCTGAGGTGTTTCCCCAGTGCATGGTAGTCGCAATCGCCATTTTCTTGAAGGGTCACAGCAGCAAGCAGCGATTAGTTGGGTGCATTTCATCCTTTGCGAGCATCGCGAATCAGAAAGAAGACGGAACCGCGTCAACATGCATGCATTTAGGCATTTAACGGCCGTGATTGTATCCATCATATTAATAGGTTTACGTTGGTACAGCAGTACTGGATTCGAGTTGCGGCGTGAGTGTGCGACATGTACGAATTACTGGATCCTACCGCTTTCGTGCGGGGACTAACGTCGGGCGCACATCTGTAGAGTAAAGTATATGCATGTCTCACAAAACAGGCCATGCACCGCACAGCCCACTGAAAAGGCATGGAGGGTAGAGTATTAGAGTAAGTGGTGTACGCTGTGATATGGGGGGGGGGGGGGTCAACGGTGTCGACAGCCGACACGAGACAGAGTGGGCGGGGCAACACAGCCCCCGACATACGCTGTTGTAATATTGTAGCGCACATGTGTACATGCACAGCGTACAAGCGTACCGTTTATCGTGTTTCTAGATGGAGTATTGCCCTCCCCAAGTACGTTGTAGGGGCAAAAGAACGGCAACAAAAGCAGGTACAAGAATGACTCACAATGGGTGTTTTCGTTCTACTCTGTTGTAGGTAGATCTCGTTGGAAAAAGGTCTGGTACAGGTTGTAGACTGCAGATGACTGCTGTAAGGTTGATCTCCGGTGCGGCGTAACTCCCCAAAACACGAGACACAGGGACCAATCCCAAGCTTTCTCACCACTCTGCACGCAACCACCCTTACGTGCATGTTTCCTATGCCGTGCCATGAGAATCCACACCACCCCGCACGGCAACACACCTTGTCTGTGGCGGCGATACTCTCGACAGATTGCTCCCATCTCCTCTCTTTCTCCCGCTTTCTCGCAAACTGGCCTTGGTGTGAGTTTTGCCTCGGCTTGTACCTTGCCTCTCCAAACATGGTGCACTGCTGCTCAGCAAGAAGACTGGAAAGTACCAAGGGAACGACCACTTGATGTGCCGGTAGATGGTAGATGTAGCCTGAGGGTGTGTTGTGTCTATCGCAATCTCTATCGGACAGTGGAGGCAGGAGAGGCCTGGATGGCAGTTACATTATTCATTTTTCAAATAAGGTCTCCACTTGCCGGAGGCGTTAGCCCCCAGAAACACCTATCCCCTTATCTTTCGGCCGATCTTTCTTGATCGTGAGATCGTGAGTGGGATGAGTGGGAAAGTGAATTGTTCACTGGTTTGTTCGCTGGTCTCGAACCCAGCCATATCACCCATACAGACGGGCTTTGCGATGAGGTCCTTGTAGAACAGCATGCTTTTCGCCCAACGCGTGTGAGTGACCTTGAGGTATTTTGCATCGCTGGTCTCTGTGTGCTGTCTACATTTTGGATGTATGTTCTTCTCGCATGTTGTGTGTGCGCGGGAAGGCTGTGTACCTCATGTGCGCAGCGGTGCACAGCAGTGTTTGCATGCTGTTATGCTAGCGGGTGTATGTAGCTGTGTGTACATTCGTACAAGACACAGAGCCATCCTGTGCCCAGACTTGAGACTGCGTATAGTATGTAACATCGACCATTTGTAGTCGACACGGGCTACAACGTAGTAAATCACACCAGACGAACAGCTGCTTTGCACTCAAGCTACCCACGAAGGGGATCACGTCATCCGTGATCTTCGTGTCGTCGAAGGTAACCCTCTTGGATGTCGTGGAGGTCCGAATATTACCCGAACCCACGAAATTTGTTTCTTCGTGGCACACATGGACGGACAAGACGGGGGATCGGATCAAACGCAAGCTACGCTGCGCCGCCATCTACGCAACTCACAGACATCTCTGCCGGCGCTCGCCACCAATTTCGTAAGGATTCGAACCCATAGCCTATCTTGCCAGCCGACAAAAGGGCAACTAATTGGTAGGAACACCCGCTCCAAGGATTAGCACTTCTTCCAATCTTGCCTTCACGGAGGTCATTCCATGATCTCGACAGTCTACCAAACAAAGCAAAAAAGAGCAATCGTGCGTGGACTATACGGCGGCGCGCGCGGCGCACCGTCCTCGTCTTCCCTTGTAAACAAAAAATTTAAAACCAGGTTAACTACAGTGCCAACAACCAAGCAGCAAGGCATGATGTGATATCTATCATTCTGAGCACCACTCGATAAAACACATCATATAACACGCACTATCATGATGCCATCCATGGCATTCGGTCGTGTGAAAACACTGGTACGCTGCCATGAGATTGATTAGTTTGTCGCAGACACGATATTTCGTGCCCTCGCGGCTCCAATTGCGGCAGAGAGATGTACCACATCGATGTGTGTACTACTTCTTGCTCCCCCCCCCGAAGCCTCCAAAGCCCATCATCGCCGCCATGTCGGGGTCCTGGAACTCCATCTCCTCCTCCTCCTCCTGTTGCTTCTTTTTCGCCAACCGTTTCGCCTCCCTCTTTTGTCGCTTTCGTCGCTCTTCGTTATCCTTAAGGATCAGGAGAGGTATGGAGGGGGGTCATGGGTGAGGAGAGAGCGGAAGGGACACTCTGCAACAGCTGCCCAACAGAATTGCAACGTTTCTTTTGCTCATGAAGCATGCCCACTTGTGTGTATCGTGTAGAGCATTCCGGCGATGGCTCTCTTTCATTTTCAGGTCAAGAGCTGCAAGGCATGTGGCCCGCCGTCACGAGGGTGACGCTTCGAGTGTATAGCATTTGAATGGCGGCTACCTTCGTTCGCGTACTCCCTGCTTTCGTGTGCACCAACTCAATGAACGGCGCAAGCGTTTGGCCGGAAGGGCAGCACCTCGCTGATCTCTAGGTACACTGCTGTGGTGCAACTCCATCAGTGACCCACCCGTGTACGACTTCACGCGTTCACAAGGAGTGCCTTCTTATTTGCCCGAAAATCGCCACCTCTTCGTGCGCACACTAATACCACGCGCGGTACGTGCCCCGTGCTTTGAGCTACCGACAGAGCACGAGCACCAGAAAAAAAACTTCTCAATCCGCGCAAATGCTTCCGACCTACCTCTTCCCGAGAGCTATCGTGAGATGGAGAAAAATCGGGTCGTGAATTTCACAAGCGACTCGTTAGACGCCCACGAAAGCAAGGCATCGACACCAAAAAGGTCAAGGCGCCGATGCCTCGACCACCCACGACGGTGGGGGAAGTAGCATGGTCCCGCTTACCTCTGCCTCCCGCACCCTGGTGTCAAACTCGTCTTCCGCGGATGGCTTCTTCAAAGCCCCCGAAATCCGATCCTCTTCCCGCTGTTTGTGCATCTTCAGTCGGTCCTTGACCTGCCGTGGAAAAAAGGGGTTGGTTCCGTGAGCCGTACGAGTGACGCCGTTGAACAAACAAGAGCAAAAGGAGCATGTCCTTGTGTGTATACGCATTGTTTCATCGATGTAGGCGGTATGGATGTCTTGCTCGTTTCAAGCGGGAGGGACAACACGAGATGCGAAGTTACGATTCAGCGCGTTCAGTCGGGCTTGCGGATCAGTTGTGTCACAGTTGGTTCTGTACACGATTATGTTGCAATGAAAAACATACACGTCGAAGTGCAGTTTTGAGTTCGGAAAAAACGAACAATGCCGTTCTTGGGTTGTCTCTTCACTCCTCCTGCCACGAGCCCATCTCCAAGTCATTAGCCGGTCGTATCCCCGTCCCAGTCCCAAAATAAAACAGGTTGACTACATAACAGCAACCGTAGACGCAACAAAACACTGCTTCACTCGTACGAGGGTGGTGAACCATCGTCACAGCAAAAAATACACATGAGGGTTTTGAGTATTTGGGGACAGCAGCACACATCCAACACCACGTCGGTCTCCGCTGCAGTATCTACGACAACTTGACCACGACAACGGGAAACCTGTTGATCATGAGGACCGGTCGCACGTAAGCCAAGTACACCCTGACGCCCAACACAGCAGTCTTGAAAAAGCGGCTGCGACATGGATCGTATTCGCAAATCACACCGTCTATCAGCGTTTCTTCGCGGCTATGGGTCTTGACGTGTTACCCAGATTCTCACGTCTACAGTACCTGCTGTCGAGCAATTGAGACCAGGCCCGCTATTTCCGGGGGGAGGTCCCCGACGAAGATTTTTGGGCAACGTGTGACCAGATGCTACCACGCATTCGCCAAGCAAACTGTTCCCGTCCCACCCACCTGCGAGACGGTGGACCTCTCTACCCGCATGCTGTAGCCCAGCTCCCTCTGGTGCTTCTTGCCGTTGATGTGGTCCAGGTAGTTGATGCTGTCCTTGAGCCCGCACTTGCAGATCTCGCAGTACCAGCCTCCCTGCTGGGACGGCGTGGACGCCGCGGTGACTACCTGCGTCTTGCCGAGCTTGGAGGACAGGTCGACCTTCCTCTCTCGGGTCTGTGGCAATGCGGTCGGTCGGTAGGAAGGACGCGGAAGGTTGAGGCTCTATTTACCCGCTGGGGCGTGTTTGCCTCAACGCAAACACATCGTATACGCAGCGCGATGTTTGAACGACAGCAGTCGTCGGGGCCCTTCGACGAGGAAAACTTGCTTACGCTTATGCATACGGGCTTTGAAAAGACGTCTTCGGTGCCCAGTGCGGGGTAATGTGCCAAACCGGCAGAGTGACGTAGAAGTTGAGGTTAAGTTAGGGGGAACCCTTCTTTTCTTCTTTTCCCGAGTACCAAGCTACACGTCCTCCGCAAAACCAACAGCAGCCCAACAAAACAACAAGTGCGATTATTTGCTCGTCAGCCCCTTCCCAACCGGCACTCTACTCCAGGAAGATTTTGGTGGGGCAGCGAAGAGCTGAACACCAGACCGTGTACCGTGTTGCCTATGTAGAGATAGATCACTGACACTGACTGCTGTGTAAACGATCAGTTTCACCGCATCACACTTGCAGCCGGTACACTGCTGGTATCGTAGTGTTTCCGCAGCGGAGTCTCGAATTTCCAATCACCTTTTTCACACCGCCCACCAATAACGCTGAGGTTGGAACTCTTGGCACGACCTAGGAATTGCCTACCAGGCAACGGTGAACGCAAAGAAAGCTGAATTGGTACACGCGAAGACCTGGAGTTGTACAGCAGTCGAACCTTGAGGTAAGCCCGCGCTGAGCCTGCTGGCCCCGCCGCCCCCAGGGCAGCCGGCTGGAATTCCTCCTTTTGACTTCTCCTTGCAGGCCCCCCTTCGTCCTTTTCCTGGTAGTCGTCGCCCTGCTCTATCCTCTCCTTAGCCTTAGCCTCGTAGTAGTCGCGATCCCATGTCCGCCTCGACTCCACGTTCTTCACCTGCTTGTAGCCCAGGTCTTTCGACATGGTTGCTGTCGGCCGGTCAGTCAGTCCTTCCAAATGTCACCCTTGGCTCTCGTCTTATGCTTGTCGAAAATAGCAGAGCACCACCAGAGTTGTACTCCTGGAGACAACAGAGACAAGGCGAAGACAACTCTCTCAACCAACAACCCTCAACAACCCTCTTGCCTTGAATGATGATGCGATGTAACCCGACGCGCGCTCTGCGTCCTGGGGTCCCGTACAAAGAAAAGTGTTCTGCCATTTAGGGGTAGGTGCAGTGTGCGTTGCTGTTCTTGTGGACCCCACACCGCAAGCACGCGGGTGCATCACACACACGGACGCCCGGACGGTGCCCACAGCTGTAGGTCGACCACTTGGGCGGTTTCCTTGTGTGGTAGTGGGCCCACGGAAGCGTCGAAGCCGAGCGCTCTTGTTTCTTTTGTCTGGCGACGCACAAACACGCCCTGTGCGCATTTTGCTTTACCCGCGGGGCCCAAGAGAGTCAGGACTTCGGAGGGTTGCGTGCCGAGTACACTGCACCGCTGCACCATCATGGAAGACCCGGCGGCACAGCAGAGAGCTTTAGCGGAGGGGAACAAGCGCGTCATGCAGGAAGCTTTCCTGATGAAGAGAGCTACGGTGAGATCAGCGAATGTTCTCGAGCAGTCTATGCGTCTTTGATCTCCACATCACACTCACAAGAAGAACCCGTCTACATACATTCATTCCCCGTGTCACCATATTTTCGATTTTGTACCTAAAGAGCTCGGTGGTTTGTTGTCGCGTGCATGTTCTCCGGGTGACTGCGGGGGATTGGATTGCGCTGAGAATTGCGTCCGCCCTGTCCCCTATAGCTGCCACACCCAAGCAACTGGCGTGAAGCCTGGGAAAAAAAAAAAGATTCGTAGCAAGAGGTCAAGGAGAGAATCACACAATCACTGCTGGGAAAAACACCGCATTGAGTACGGAGATGCCACACCAATAGTAGCCGTGCCGTAGAAGAGATTTGGGTCTGTTATGCAGGTGGCACTTGGGTGCTGTCGCGCGTGCTTTCGGAAGCCTAACGTAGAGGTTTTAGTGGTGCATGCTCAGGACTTGCTTTATCCCAACACGAGCAGCGTATGTAAGGACAAAGGGACCGCATGCTGGGAAGAACGGTCTTCTTCCGTTTTCAGCGGCTCCCTGGGCGAGGCGAAGCTCTTGGCTGCATGTACACGTGCCGAGAGTGCCAACGTGCGCGCTGTCGCTAACGGCAGTACTTCGTCGCTTGTGTTGCCCACGCCTCTCCCTTTCTCGACTCTCACGGTATTTTATCCTCCCACCCCAAACCGACACCTCGATACACGCATCAAATTGGCGGTTTTGAAGAGCGTAATCGTACCGCCGCTAGAGTACAACGCCGGAGAAGTATGGGAAGGAAATAAGAAGGTAGTACAAGAACTCGAGGCGGCGCAGATGACAGCAACGAAAATCATCCTAGGATGCTCCAAGCGCACAAGTAATGCAGCCGTCAGGGCAGAATTGGGGACCCAGTCCCTACGGTCGGGAAGAGACGCAAGGAAGCTGACACAGTATCGCATGTGCGGGATGGGAGAGGAGAGGTTGCCGAGAATAGTATGGGAGGCGAAGTGGGCAAACAAAAAGAGGGGTAGACAACCCACGGAATGGGTCAAGGTTGTAGAGGACGTATGGAAGGGGTTCGACACCGACGAAGATGAAACGCTGGAAACGGAGGGTCTACAGGGGTTCAAGGAGAAGATATCTGTTGCTTGTGCCGAGAGAGAAGAACAGAATCTAAGGAAAGAAACCGAGGATAAGGAGGGTCTAGAAGTGTACGGAATGTTGAAAGAAGGAATGAGTTCAAGGATTACCTACATGGACCAATGGATGCAGGGACAAAGCTTAAGGTTCAGGGCCGGGGACATCGGCCTTCGAGAACGTCGACGAAGACATAGGACCGTAGACGACGAAGACAAGTTCAAATGTGATTGCGGCTTCGAATGCGAAGACCGTGTTCATGTAGTCGCGGAATGTCCGTGGTACGAAGAGGAGAGGGAAGTGTACATGAGACTGAGCTGGGAAAAATAGAAGGGAGGTACAGGGAGATGTTTGAGGCATGGAATAGAGAGGAGAGGACGGTAGCTGTACTGGGGAGTAGGAAATGGTTTGAAAAGGCGGGAAGGGGCATCGTTAGGATAGACAAACTAGGGAAGACATTTTTGAGCCACCTTTGGCAAAGTAGGAAGCAACGATTGGCCATCGGTGATCGGTCCTGTGGGAACAATGCTCCGTCCTCTCGAGGACGCGCGGTCAATGGTCTAACTGCTAAGGCATGCAAAACATAAGAGTACGCCCCCTCACCCCCCCCCTCCCTTCTCCCAAATTTTGACGAACGCCCTTTTTCTGTGAAAACCCCCAGGATGCGAGCGACACGAAGAGCGCCTTCACGCACGCCGGGAACATGCTGAAGGAGCTCAAGACCACACAGCTGTCGCCCAGAAACTACTACGAGTTGTACATGAAGGTAAGGTTGGACCTTGCATTCTCTTTTTTAGGCAAGGCTGATTTCGATGTTGTCTTGGTTGTTTGCGGTTCTGCGTACTAAGCGAAAACACACGTGCTGCATGCTCAAGTTTACGGCGCCTAAGCCCCTGGCAAAACGTACGGCATGTATTTGTTCCTGCGTGCCTCATGCACCGGGGAAGCACTGGAGCGCCGTGGGTCGAGCCTGGCATGTGTTGCTCCCGATGCCGGCTCGTTTGTTTCGATTTATTTTGATATCCAGACCTTCGGCGGCAGTCAAAAAATGTACTTGAAAAGAAGACTCGCACGGTATCGTAGATAGCATGTTCGCCGGCAAAGGCATGATGTAGTACAAGAAATGGCAGCAGTCGCCACACACCGTACGTCATCTCCGGATGGCGAGTCGGATGCGCTTGGCTGTCTGATAATATTCGCCACACTCAGAGTAGTTGCCAACGTGAAACGATATTAGTCCGTTTCGAAGAGGAGCAAGGTCACGGCAACAACAGAAGATAACGCCTTCCTTTCCACGCGACTCCCTTGAAACACCTCGGAAACGGTGGGTGCGTCGGTTGCCTCACGTGCAGTCGATGCTTGCCTACTTGGCGAAGACTCCCATCTGTTCTCCACTCTTGCCGTTGTTGCACACGAGCACGCCTCACACCCTTCGATGATGGTGCTTGCATGCATACGCACAAGCGCACCTGCCACACCTCGCAACACCGAGGAGTGTCTGCGCGTGTCTTTTCTTGTTTGTATCGACCGCGTTCACCCGCTGTGTGCGTGCGCTCGTCCCCCCCTACACAAGGTGCTTGATGAATTGCGCCACCTGGAGGATTTCTTCACCTCTCAGAACAGGCAGGCGAGGCAGCCCATGGTGGGTTTGTACGAACAGGCGCAGGCATGCACGATGGTGCTGCCAAGGCTGTACCTTCTCAACACCGTGGGAGCGTGCTATATCCTCTCCCAGGAGGCGCCGGCGAGGGTGAGCTATTATACGACAGTACGGTACATGTTGTACCAACGAAGGGCTATTTGGTCATGCACCAGTCGTACCGGTTTGTGCAAAGATAGGGTTCTTAGAAATTCGAGTTTTCGTACGCCTGGCGATGCTGCTCTGGGACGTACCATTCATCTGCTTGAAGGCGGAAACTCTGGCGCCAAATGCTTCCCTTAAATGGTTCTAGACAATTGATTATTTGTGTGGAGTGCTTGTAACATTTTGCTGAGAGTAGTAGTACGGTTTGTGGCACAAGTGTTTGGGCAAAATGATAGCGTCCGCGTGTGCGTCTGCGTGTGAGGTTTCGCGCGATGCCTTTGCAATGGGTACATGAGTCCCGTCGAAACCTTCCTACACCGCACACAAGGACATCGTCCGTGAAGTCCCCGCCATACGTAAGCCATGCATCTTTCGATGCAACTCCCGCAAATGGAATGCAGGATATCTTGAAGGACCTGCTGGAGATGACGAAGGGCGTGCAGCACCCCATGAGAGGCCTTTTTCTCAGAAACTACTTCTCGCACGTGACTAGGTGGGTGGTGTGTCTTCTGTCTTGTCCCCCTTTGTTGAAGGTATTTTCGATCCTTCTTTTGCTTGTAAGCTTGTACGAAGCGTTAGCATTTTCAAGAAGGTAATAGCAATGTCATTCGAGGGTTTCTTTGAAAGGAGGCAATGTTTTTCTGTCATCTGTTCTGTTTGCTCGAAATCCTGTCTTTCCGCTTCTTCGTCTTCCGGCCGTGCTTCCGAGTGTCGTCATGTATATATCGGATTTCTCTTGACGTTTTTGTATGTTTTTGGCTATCGAGCGTCTTTGAATCAACTCCGCCTGGTTCTCTTCCGCCGAAAGCAGACATCTCTTCGCCGACACCCGTTTGAAAAGAGGGCATCGTCCTCGACAGGCTTTTCTTGGGGGAGATTTTGTCCTCGCTGAAGTGGATCTCCACACTTATCCTCCCTTTTCTTTTTCTTAGCACACAGGCTACCCGCCTCAGCAGGAGAGTCGAATGCAGAGAGGGGCTTCTCTTGCTGTCCAAAGATCAACCTCAACCTCGTGTTTTTTTGTTTGTGTGTTTTGTGTGATACTGTACCAGGGATAAACTTCCCGACGCTGGATCACCGTACGAGGGCGATGGGGGTAGCGTGGACGATAGCGTGGAGTTTGTGCTGGAGAACTTCGTGGAAGCGAACAAGCTGTGGGTGCGCATGCACGGACAGGTGAGAGGAGAAGGAGGTGACGTGATGAGTCGTGTTGCGATTGAGGAGTCGTTGTTGGTGATGCTGGTGTTGTGGCTTTTGGTCATGTGGGGCGACAGCAGTAGTTGTTGTCACTGCTGTTGATGTTAGCTGCTCCTGTTGCTTGCGTTGATTTTCTCCCGCTTTGTCGTCTCTCTTTGCCTGCCGATTCATCGTTGTCTGTTACCGTTTTTGTCGGCCTTGGTGCTTCCGTTTTGTCTATCCCTTGGTTTTCTTTGCGCAGTGTTAACATGCACGGCCTTTCTTCTACACAAACACCCTTTTTTTTACACGCTAATGTGGTGTCCAGCCACGGTCTCCATGGAAAATCCGTTTGAAATGGTTTGGACCAACCTAACCCTCTTCGCATGTCTGCGCATGGCGTTTCGTGTTACCCTCCTTTTGTAATACGGGCAACGCTAACGCTCAACAGAAGGGTCCGTCCAAAGACAAGAAGCGTCGAGAGCGAGAGAGAAAAGACTTGAGGCTGCTGGTGGGCACGAACCTAGTCCGACTGTCCCAGCTGGAAGGGGTAGACGGAGCCAAGTACAAGACCGACATCCTTCCGCCCATCCTCGAGCAGGTGCGTGCGTCCCTGACGGCAATTAAAATCCCATCCTCCCAACAGCAGTAGCGAATTATCGGCAACATTTTCTTTTGCGGATTTTCTGGGACAGGATCGCTTCCTGTGGAGTGGTGAAACGAGCAGACGTCACACACCGGCCGTGTAGATGGCCGATTTCAGATACGTCATAGGAGACCGGCTCAGGTCTAATATCTCATCCGCCTTCTTCGTGGAAAAACGATCCGAACCTAACCCAAACCAACACGGTACGGATCCCTCACTGCGCTACTATGACACGCATTATGACCAGATACAACAGTCTATCCCCAAAATTGCCGCCGACAAATGAAGTCCGGTACATATGCCTTTGACTGACGCCCAGCAATCTGACCAACCGCAACAGTTTAGCCCAAACGCTAACCCCCCAAACTCCCGCCGGAAAAATTGCGCTACATGACCCCCTATCTGACCCCCAGGTGGTGGGCTGCAAGGACACCATCGCCCAGAGCTACCTGATGGACTGCTTGATACAGGTGTTTCCGGACGAGTTTCACCTCGCTTCCCTCGAGGCGTTTTTGGACGGGGTGTGCCGGCTGAAGGAGAAGGTGCGGGTGAGACCGGTGCTGGAGAGCCTGATGGAGCGCATCGGGAACTACGTGGGGGAGCACCCGGATGCCCTGCCCAAAGACGTGAGTGGTTTTTTGAGTGGTTTGGTTGTCATGTGTGGAAGTTTGGGTGCGTCTGTGGAATGCCCCCTACCGTTGCTGTGCCGAAGTACCTGAATGCCACGTGTATTTCGCGCCTTGTTATGTGCGCTCCAGATATCAGTACCTATGTAATTCGGCGCTATTTTCGCCACGCCCTCGTCTCTAGTTGTGAGTTGTTGCCGAGTTGTCTTGGGTTTTCGAAGTCTGTATGCTGCGGCACCCCCGACCCTCTCGCCCAAAGATAACCTGTGGTTGCAAGCGATAATCTTTTTTAGCAATGTTTTTTTGCATGCCAGATAAGGTGTTAATTTGTGCTGCTGTGCCCAGGAGGGTGGCTGACTTGTGTATGTCACCACGGGCTGCACGGGCTTGTCACCGCCCAGAGATGAATGTTGATTGGAATGAGGCGTGTCCGACGGATGCTGAACATGCCAGTGCTGACGGCGTCTTGTCTGGGGTGCCACCGTACCCCCCGCCACAACGGAGAAGATGTCCGACACGGCAGTCGGGAAGATCTCCGACACCGCAGTCGTGAAGATCTCCGACACGCCAGCCGTGAAGATCTCTGACACATCAGTCAGGAAGATCTCCGACCGACTGACACCGCAGTCGTGAAGATCTCCGACACGCCAGCCGTGAAGATCTCTGACACATCAGTCAGGAACATCTCCGACACGCCAGTCGGGAAGATCTCCGACAGAAGCGGTCGGTATCTACCGGAGAGACACCGGTGGTTGCGTGATAACCATTCGTGTACATGCGTGCGTGTTGTTTCCGCCTGCCTTACTTACCAGGTGGACGCGTTCCGACTGCTGAACGACTGCGTGACGCGGCTTGTGTCGGAGAGACCCAAGCTGGAGCTGTCGGAGATCATCTTGATGCAGGTCGCCCTGCTTCAGTTTGCGTCCCAGTGCTACCCCGGGAGGCTGGAGTACATCAACCACTGCATTGGTGAGTCGTCTTTTTCTTCGGATATCCATACCACGTGTTTTTTTCTGCACACAACTCTGTTTGCTGTTTGTTCTGTCTCCTTTTGCTGAGATTCGAATGGCCCGTCCCTCTCCTGCATTTGTCTTTTCGGCCTGCAATGACGACGACAACAACAACAACAACAACGACAACGCGGAAAAGGCGTGTGCGGAAGGGCCATGGTCAGCCGAGGCTTCGAGCCCCTGACTGGTGGCCGCCCGGCTCGAAGGGACCTACCCTTGGAGTGCATCGAGGCATTGCTCCGCCTCCTGTCCATCCCCCTCAAATCGCTCGGCCTGGGGGTGCTCTCTCTCGCGGAGTACATAGACTTGCTCCACTTTTTGCCGTGGGAGTCTCAGAAACAGGTAAATACTGCGTGTAGGAAATACTTTTCCTTTGTTGTTGTGGGTATTTTGTGCTTTTTTATGTCTCTGTGACCCCGTTTGAAACCACTGCCAGAATCTGTTTGCACCGAGGAGGTGCCTGCATGCGCGAACCAATACTTGAACCGAAAACATAATCAGCGGTGTCGGCGCGTAGTGGTTGCATTCGTATATACATCACACGAGCTGCCCCATATAGACTACTGGTAGTGATCATCGTAGTTTCGTTGTTTTTAGTATGTACATGCAAGCTGCTGTTCCATTCACACCCAGCCTTCCTTGCCAAGTAGCGATCACGGCACACCCTAGGTGGCACCGAGGCTTTGTCCCAACCGCGGACCCGGGTTCCGATACTTGATATCGAGGGCACCGTTTGTTATCGTGATTTTGGTGTGTTCCGCTCAGGTGTCGCTGGAGCTGCTTCGATCTGTGCTGAGCAAGGAGTCAGCGCTAAGCGACCTCGATTGCGTGGACAGGCTGTTGGGGATGATCGCGCCTATCTTGAAGGACCCGCCAAACGGGGAACGGGGGGACGGCGATGCTGCCATGCAGGTAGTTTACCCCCACGGTATATTGGTAATTGGTGTGATGACCATGGTTAAGGTTTGACCGTGGTGTTAACGGTATGAACTACTGTTGTGCATGTTGTTAACCGTCGTCCACGGTATGGCGCTAGTCTATCGTGTTTACGGTATGGGATCATCGCGTACGGTATGGTACCATGGTGATGCCACGGTGCGCCCCCGAACACCTGGGATATATTGGTGTTATCGGTGGTGAGGGGACGATCCGGGAAGAGGCCACTAAGTAAACGATAACGATGGGAAGCGGTTTTTTCAGGCAGGTTCGGTTTTCTCAAACGTTGACATGTCTTTCTTCCGGGACGCTAGTAATGTGCCGTTTGAGATTGAAGCTACTCCCTTCTTCTCTCTCTTGCTTGTTCTTTTATTTTTGCTTGATTGCCTTTTTTGTGCTGTTTTTCTTCGCCTTTTTTTCATGTTTCTTACTACGTTGTTTTGTTTTGTTTGGTTTGACGGCGGCAGGCGGCGCAGGAGGAGGAGCGCAGGTTGGTCGCCCGTGTGGTTCACCTCATGCGTAACGAAGACACAGACTGCTACTTCCGGATGCTGGTCGTTGCGCGGAGGCACCTTGGACAGGTGTGTGCGACATATTTATGTTGGGTACGTTGGTGTCCTTTCTTTTTTTTGTTCTGGTTTGCAAGACTGGTGGGCAGCGTAAAGACGGTATGTCCGCACTGGACCCTTTTGCTACTGTTGCTGCTAAGGTGGTGGTGGTTGCAGACCTCTGGTGGTTCGTTCCCCAATGAACGCTGAAGGACTATTTGCACAGGACCGATGACTCGATTTGTCAAAGCCGAAGTGTGTAGAATTCCGTGGATATTGGTATCGTCGCTCATGCACGGAAAATCGCACCCTTGTCGTGACCCCTATCGTTTTTCGTCGAATGGTTTCTTTGCTCATGCACGGCAATCATACCCTCTTTTGACCGTTCGTCGAATTATGATCGCTTGCGCCCGGCGGCGCGGCGCGGCGCGGCAGGGATCTCCGTCACAAGTGCAGTACACCCTCGTGCCGCTAGTCTTCCGGGCGCTCGGGCTCGCTCGCACCATCCGGGCCGCCGAGGTGGCCGACGAAGAGCAGGCAGCCGCGGCGGAGACCGCGGCGGCGGCGGCCGCCGCCGCCTCCGCGGCTACCGCAAAAGCAGAGGCAGAAGCAAGGGCCACTGCTGACGCGGCGGAAGGGGGAGTTAACGGGGGGAGCGGTGGAGGCGCCGATGACGATGGTGATGCCGATGGTGATGCCACGAACGGTGGTGAAAACGGGAAGGAGGGAGAAGGGGGGAGTGACGAGACAGAAGCGGCAGCGGCCCCGGCTGAGGGAGACGAAGACAGCGGGGAGACGGTGGCGCCGGCGCCGGCGCCGGCGGGAGAATCGCCGGCGACCGGAGCAGAAGGGGCCGGCGACGACGAAGGGGCGTTTCCGCCGGTTCCGCCGGCGGCGGCGGCGGTGGCAAGACCAAGGCAGTTTTCGAGCCGAAAGGTGTACCAGTTTTTGCACGAGATCGTGACGGCCATGGCGCCGCTCCATCCGTGGGTGTCGCTGTCGCTGTTCCTGCAGTGCGCGATCGGCGCCGACCGCACGGGGTTCAAGGCCATCGCGTACGAGTTTTTCAGCCAGGTGAGTGGTCGGTCGGGGCTGCTTAGGAGGCGAGACAGCGAGAGTAGAGAGGCAAAGAAAAAGAGAGAGAGAGAGACAACGACGGCGACCGTTGTGTCGAGATTGTTGTCCCTGCCGAGCTTTCCCCACTTTACCTCAAGGCATCGCCTAGCTATTTCCAAGGCCTTCATTTTTTTCGAACACATAGGACCTGACGAAAGCAATGGTTCGTATCGATCGCAGACACCGCACCTCTGCGACTGGAGCTTTCCTGACATTTTTTGTCGAATCTTTAGATCCGGGTGCGTCGTGTTAGTTTCTCGTTCTAGGCTAGACATGCAATCGTTCGCGATTACGAATTAATACAACAAAATAACGCACCTGAATTTACTTTTAACAGGCCTTCATCTTATACGAAGATGAGCTTTCGGACAGCAAGGCGCAGGTGCGAGCGCTGGTGTCGATGGCGGGCACACTGCTCTCGTGCGAAGGCTTCGACCCGGTTGACTACGACGCCCTCGCGACGAAGACTGCCCAGTACGCCGCCAAGCTCTTGAAGAAGCCGGACCAGTGTAGGATGGTGACGCTGTGTAGCCACCTCTTCTGGTCCCCTGACGAGGTATAAGCACGAGAAATTAATGGAAGTAGGCCGTATGTTTGAGAGTGTTCGGACATTCGGGGGGCGCTTGCGTACCGCCCATGGAATGCAGCTTTCTGTTACGTGCTGCTACTGCCTTGTAGAGAAAGAGAACGGCTGAAAGCAAATTGCTGCAGGCATGCCCGTGTCGGAACCCCCAGTTTGTGGGTTGTCTCGATTCGCCCATTTTTCTCACACTTGCCAACTTTTCAAGTCTGCGTTGTTCTTTGTTGGAAGTGTTCCTTCGGAATACGTTGCTTTCCTGTCGTTTTGCTTTCGTTCACCCGCGCCCCCCCCCCGCGGCCCCCCTTCACATGTGTAATCTTTTTGTTTTTCCTGCTCGCTTGTCTTGTCTTCACGTTATAATTTGCGCGCCTGTTTTCCTTTTTTATGGGATATGGCCCTCGCTTATTATTTTTCTCTTGCCTCCCGCTTTTGCAATCCCCCCCGCCCGCCCACCCCTTGCCCCGTCCTTTCGAGGACGCGTAGTCAAAAGTCTAACCGCTAAGGCATGCATAACATGAGTACCCGCCCCCCCCCGGCCCTGTTTTTTAACCTGGCGTGGCCATAGGCCGCACCCGGTCGCCGCGACGCTCGCCGCGTCCTGGAGTGCCTCCAGCGGTCTCTCAAGATCGCGGACGTGTGTATCGCCGGGGGGGTGAACGCGCAGCTGTTCATCGAGATCCTGAACCACTACGTCTTCTTCTTCGAGGCAGACAACCCCGAGGTATGTAGCTGTGAGGTTGGGGGTGGGACACGCTCGGTAGATCGGGACGCTATGTTATCAACTGGGTGCAAACGGGAGCAAGGCGGAGCGTTCTTAGGTAACAGAGCAAGAACCTTCGTAGCCGAGCGAGGGTGTCCCTAGCGGAGCAATACTGTTCTTAGCAGATCAAGAATGTTCTTGACAGAGCAAGGAGTGTGCATAGCAGAGCTAGGACCGTTGTGAACAGAGCACAGAGCGAGACACGTGTTTGCACGGGGGATGTGTGGCAGGCGAAATGTTGGCCAGGTCGCGCCTGACAAGAACAAAGAAACTGCGTCAACGTGCGGCACGGTGCGGTATTTCTCCAAGCCCCATCACCCATTATATAAACACTTTTTGAAAGCACTCGCGTACAGTACGGACAGAAGGAAGGTACTGGGCAGAGAGATCGGAACGGTTTTTAATGTGAAGACAACAATCTGCTAAGCGAAAGGGAGGCTTTGGCCGGAATTCTCAGCGACAAAGAAGACTTCCATCACGAAATATTCACCCCAATGTTCGCGGTCGATAGACTCATGCACCTACGCCCCGCGTCCGCCAATCAGATCGCCGGGCGTTACATCTCGGGCCTTGTGGCCCTGATCCACGAGCACGTGGACAGCCTGGACCCGTCCGACGCTCGCACCGAGATGGAGAGGTACCTGAACAACACCCTGGATCACATCCGACGCAAGAAGGAACAGGCTGACCTCCCAGAGAGCCTCGGGAAAAATTTTGCCTGGGTGACGATATAGACAAGAGGGGGTGGGGGGGGCAGGGGGGAAAAATAAGGGGGGGGGGGGGAGCAATGCACGTTTAATTCCCCCCCGTTGGGGTTTCGGGGGGGGGGGGGGGGGGTGCCGTATATTTGTATACTCGGGAGCATATAGCAACGTAAGGCTCTGTTTGGTTTGCGGCCAAGGCGGAAGGGTAAGCGGGGGATGCACGTTGTTCCTGGTAGCCTGTGAGTGCTGTCCGTGCTACTACTACTACAAGGGAGGTGTATTATTTTGTTCATCGTTATTTTTGTTGTTTTGTTTGTCGGAAGAGTCGGTGCCGTACACCCGGCTCGTCTGGCGAGGGTCCTGCAGAGAAGATCGGCAACCCGTTTGATTTCGCTAGCAGGCAGATTTGCAGTCACCTTTGGTTTTATCCAAGACGGGGGGGAGGGTGTCATAATATGGGAAGTTGCAAAAGTCGCACGGGGAAATTTCCTGGAAACCTGGATGAAGTGTACAGGTCCGTAGTGGTTGTGTCGGGCCGATGGGCTGCTGTGCTTGTACCGATTCATCATCCGATTGGGGGGCTTTGATCGCTCATGACGGACTTCGGGCAGGGGAGTGGGGGGGAGGGGTCGGAAATATGAGCCATAGCTCTTTGCGTATGTGTTTTGTTCTCGGTCTCTTTCGTGTTGGGTCGCTTTGATGTTTGTCATGCTTCATTGGTCCACCCCACTTGTACTAGTCGGGGCATTGTTTGTAGTTCCTTGCCCCGCCCCCGCACGCAACCATCGTGTTGTTTGTTGTGGTGTGTGACAAGGTGGCGGAAAGGGTAACTCTGAGTAACGGGCTTTTTACCTTGAGTGAGAAAGTCTTCTACCTGCAATATTCTTGTCTTTTCGCCTTACGTGCTTCCTTCATCACTCGCTCTGTGCTTTCCACGGAGCGTTTTTGTACAAGGAATGGCGAGGTGTTGTGTTATGTGTAGATGTCTCTCCGCCGTTGGGCGGAAGAGCCTACTCATGCAGTGGATTTGTTTTCTCAAACGAGCTCCACGAGCTACTGCCAAATACAATCACTCGCTGCTGTTGCAGGCTAGTAGTCTCATGCGGTACGAGAAAGCTCTGCCGAGATGATTGTCCACGACAAAATTCGTGGTCGGTCTTGGTTGAACGAGTGTTCAGCAGCAAGCGATCTTTTTTCAGATATTGTATGGATGATGCCGTCATCGGAAGTATGAATGCCAAAAACGGCCGCAGCAGCAGGTAAACCGTTCGCTCACGGAAGTACGCTGGAAAAAAAGCGGGCAGCAGCAGCGCGGTGAGACCGTATGCTCATTGTCAGGGTGGTGGACAAGTGCGAAGATGCCCAAAAAAAAAGTGGCGGGTTCGTGCATAGGAAAGGTTGAAGGTTGCCTCTTCTGTGCTGAATTCACATCTCACTGGAAGTAAACCTCATAGACTAGTCTCTCTCTAAGAACGAAGAGGACGGACGCACACAGCTTCCTTTTGCAGCAGCAATACAGCACAGGCTTCCGAAAAAACAGCAGTGCCTCTGTCGGACAGGCATGATAAAACAAGTACGACAGCAATAAGTCTGCTCGTCCACTCGTCAGGATATAGTCTAAGATGCCATGTACATGTGAGACTAATTTGAATTTCCATTTCCACTCAAACAAACAATTGTTTTTCTGCCAGAAAAGAAAGACCACACCTACCTATCCTCCTATGGGCAACACATTGTATTTCCGGCGATGGTGTATTGTTGCGATTTTTGCCCCCAATACTTTTAACTCCAAGGGGTAGACCTTCGTCTAGCGGGATCATTTAGAGATACGAGATACAGAGAGTGAACAATATATCATGCAGCAGTGGGGACAGCTCTACGAATAACCTTCTTCTTGGGGCGGACCCCTCTCCAATGATCGCGCGCGCAGGAGATGGAGACGACACGATTTTCTTTTTTTGATGGAGGCGACACATTGTTTTTTTTTTTTCGATGACGCGCGTCCGCCCGGGTTTGCCAAGGGAATCATCACCCAAGCCAAGGCACACCATCAGACACTACTATCACCACCCTAAAATTCCTTTGTGTGTGTGTGTGGAAAGGGTCCACCGAAGACTTTCGCTTGCTACCCACCCCGACGGCACGGTCCTCTTGTTTGTCTCTTTTACCACGGTGGTGCGGTGCGCTCGCTGGAAGGAAGCTGTCCCTGGCGACACGTCAGCGACGGTAGCAGCAGCAGCAGCAGCAGCAGCAGTGACAAAAAGATTGTTTTGTCCATGTAGGCAGCTGCTCGTCACACACCAGGAAGGTTCGGAGGGTTCGTTCAGCGCTACTCAAAAACCAGGCTAGGCGGCAGCAGCATGTACACGAGGAAACAGAGATGGAGAAGGACTCGGACGCGCAAGCAGGCCTGGGGCGACCTTCCCCCAGAGCTTCTAGACGCGATGCTCGCGGCCGGCGGCGGCGGGATGCCCAAGTCCGTTTCTTGGGACCACAGCTACGCCGCGGGGCTGAAGATTCGAGCAGACAGGGCGGCCGAGGTAGCGCACCGGGCGGCGGCCGAGGACTCCAAGCTCAAAGCGGCGGCGGCGGCGGCGGCGGCCGCAAAGGGCAAGGGGGTCGAGGTCAGCATCCCGCGGTCGGTGTCCTGCTCGTCCCTCGGACCGAAGCGGACTCTGTTCGCTCGAACCTCGTCCTCTAAGGATGAGCTTGGGGCCGCGGGGGGCGGCGTCAGGAGAGGTAGCAGCGCGACCACAGCGGCTCAGCACAGGCGGCGCATGCTGCCGCACCGGAGAGGCGTGAGCTTCAACACACAGGTGGGTGCTAGCTTGGCTCTCGAGGTGGAGGTTCGGGGCAGCTGAGGTGTTGGTTCATGACACAACACTGCTGTTGTGTTTTTGTGTTTTCCCCTCCTCGTACACAGCAGTAGTGATTCGTTTTGTGATCAGCACCATTCGGTCAGGTGACGACTCTCCCTAAAACAGACTAGCTTGTACTGCTGTCGACGACGCTCTATGGTTTATGCTGCGGAGGAAAGGGGGGCATGAGGTGGTGGCGTGGTGCATGTGTTCATGTTGTCCCGTCAACAGCTGTCTCTTGGTTGATTCTCGCATTCTCTCTCGGAAACTTTCAGCCAAAGATGACCCCCACATGCTCTCATCATCGACTTTTTTTTTTTTCTTTTTCATGTGTGACGAAATCGGTTGCAAGCGGCGTAACCGCGCCATGCTTGCTAGGAAGTCCGGGTGTACAACACTGCTGGCTAGCGACACGCCTGCTTTCATGGGGTCATCTATGACACCCCGCTTTTCGTTTTCCATGGCGACCAGCTCCACCCCAAATACAAGAATGAAACACCGAGAGAAATCTACTCACAGGGTTCAGCCAAACAGAACAGAAAAGCCCACCTCGGTGCGGTGTTCGCTGAAAACGTTTCCTGAGGACCCCCCCCGCTACATACCAAGATCTCCCACCTCTCATGGTTGATTTCATGGTGACTGGGTCAGAAACGTCAGCCACCGTCTTTCTCACGGGACTCCTCCTCTCTATCCCGTGCTCTAGATCTTCTACTGCTGTGCTGCTGTGCCGTGGTCTGTTTGTCTTTACGTATGCATACTGTACTGCTGTAGATATTTCTATTCCTGCAGGCATGCATGTGGAGAAGAACAAGTGCGTGTCACGCGTGTGCGGACGTCATCATTCAATACCGTCCCGATCCTTTGTTCGAACAGCAGTCAGTCCCAGCCGCAGCAGCCCACCAGCCACGGTCGTACAAGTGCATACCTTCTAAGAAATGAAAGTCGATCGTTGTCCAAGCCCTACGCAGTACACAGAAGTATGTAGGTGCGTGACGTTACCTGGGATTGCTCGTCGTGTTCGGTATAAATTACAGCACACGCGTGCCAACGGAGTCCCTGTCCTCTTTGCAACGTGAGATATTTGGGTGGTCTGTTGTCTTCACATCCGTACCAGCCCTGACCCGGACCGCCCTCCGTGGTCACAGGCCAACTACCGTATACGACACAAGACAACACACCCCTTGGACTGATTTTCAAAGCTCGATTTACCAACAGCAGGAAGAGTCACGGCGCCGATAACGGCGGCGTTGAAGCCGTCTGGTCGAGAGCTCTCCGAAAGCGTATCGTTTCGTTTATGCATCCTCTTCGTCGTGGAGTAATCGAGTTTTGAAAATTGGTCGAGGGGGTGTGTTATCTTGTGTCATACACGGTAGGTACCCGAAGAGGGTTGTGTACATACAGCAGTTGTTGTTGTTGTTGTCTTCACATTCAAGTCGTGTCAGTTGCTAATCCCAAAATCTAGCAAAGACGCGGTCCGTGGTCACAAAAATGCTAGAGCCATCAGAAGATCCAAAGAACACGCAAACTATTATAGCAACAAAAGGGTACACAAGCACCTACATCCCTGCAGCACGTTTGCGTGCCCAAAAAATGAACTACCCGCACGGGTCCACACACTACATTCGACTACAGCAGCATCACCCCCCCTGTCCTACACTTGACCAAAATGAATGTCGACTACAGCGTACAGCTGTCTGGAGTGCTGCCTGTACAATAACACCATGGTAGACATGGTACAAGTTCGGGACGCGCAACTGCTGTCTGAAGTGCTGTCAGAATGCGTCCGTGGACATACAGTGAAAAAGAACAACCAACCAAAGCCATCATAATTGCAATTGACAATCACCGAATCTACCCCCGATCATCTGTGTTGGACACAGCAGCGTAATTATCGACACTTATTAGGATTCGTTCCACATCGAAGGGGTCTTCCACGATGCAGGTACACAATAAAGGCACCCGGGCTATCCGGGCCATCTCTGCCGCGTCTCTCTACAAAACCAGTGACGTCATCACATACACACCAATGTTCAGGAAGTAAACAGAAAATATACAGATAGCCCTTCGCTGACGCTATGGATTCATTGCTAATCATCTTAGACTTCTTTCTGTAGAAAGAGATGGATTTATTGTGTCATATTCAGAAAATAATATATATATATATATTTGACAACACAACATGTTCGTCCGTGCGTCACGGTTCGATGTCGTCCGTGTGCTCCGGCGCCGCTGCTCGATGCCGCTGCTCCGGTGTCACTGCGGCCAGTCCTAGCACGACCAAAATCGACCCGCTCTGTCCGTATACGCTCTCGTTGCTGTCCTTCCCAGTCGGTTCCTCGCTTTCTCCCTCGTTGCACTTAAGGCCGCACTGGGGATCACAGTACTTCCTCTTCAAAAAAACAGGAAACGCCTGGAAACGCCTGCATATCTCGGTTTTCCAAAGTCTAACTCCAGTACGAAACTACCATCGTAAATTAACCGTCCGCAGCGGTCGCTTGTGTACAATGTTAGTAGCTGAGGTTGTACCCCTTGCGATACACTACAGACTAGCGGTCCGCGATTTTCCAAACGATCGCTTCTATCATCGAGTTCGGTGAGCTACAAGCTAGATTTTTTAAGCTGCTGTGCGGTCCAATTTTGAAACGCTTCAAGCACACGGTGAACACGAATCACCGCCTATGTGAGTGTATGGGGCCGCGAACTTCAGCGCAGCTCTTCCCTCACATATCCAGCTGGTCGCCATTGTCATTGTCGATTTGAATGCCTAGGGTCATGTATATGCATGTCCAGCCTTTAGGCAAAGGTGCTTGAAGCGTTTCAAAATTGGACCGCACAGCAGCTTCAAAAATCTAGCTTGTAGCTCACCGAACTCGATGATAGAAGGATCGTTTGGAAAATCGCGGACCGCTAGTCTGTAGTGTATCGAAAGGGCTACAATCTCAGCTGCTAACATTGTCCACAAGCGACCGCTGCGGACGGTCAATCTACGATGGTAGTTTCGTACTGCAGTTAGACTTTGGAAAACCGAGATATGCAGGCGTTTCCTGGATTTTTCAGAGGAGGTACTGCGATCCCCAGTGCGCCCTTAAGGTTCTTGTTCTGAATATTCTCGCGTCGAAGGGTCAACCAGCCCACTCAGCTCGTCATCACCTGTTCCCTCCTCCCCTTTGATGGCGAAGCCAGGTTACTGAGACAGTACAGCTCCCTCTAGTAAACCTAGGGCCGTGTACATAGTGCCCGTCCACCTTTCTGATCGCGTCTGCCTCCGCGCACAAAACTGAGATGGACATGCTGTCTACACCGACGGCCATGAGGCCCGCGCATCTGCATTTTTGCACCTGACTCACCAGTGCCGACCCAACTCTACCACTACGCACGCCTCGCGGCGGGTGCACTGCAGCAAGGTGTCGGTCCCTTGAGGGTGAGTCTAGCCATGCTCGCTAGAAAGACCCCCCCCCTCGCTATGGGCCATGCCTAAGCAAAAGCCTTACCGAGGCAGCGAGGGGAAGAAGGAAGTCAATGTTTTAGAGAACTACAGGGGAGGATGTAAGATGTAGGGTACTTGTGTAGACGTTGTACTAAGCACCAGCTGCTATGACTGATATACATCATCAGTGTATAGACTTAAAAAAAGACTCGAAATAAGTCCAGTACCCAGCCGTTTTCCCTCAACTCGCTGAAAAGACTCCACCACATCCTGTTCGACTGCTGTGGGTATATCTCGAACGGATAGTCTTCCTGTGTGTGTATTTATTTTTCCTAATATTTCCTCGACTGCTGTACTAATCCTTGAGTCGATATGGGTTCGTCGTGCTTCTTTTAGAACATGCCATTCCCACACCGTAGTAATAAGAATCGCAATCATAGATAGACCACCCGTTCCAGATAATACCCAACACGAAAGGATGACTTTCAGTCTTGGCAGGCGAGTGTCGGAGAAGAACCTGTGTGACTTATCTCGAGTCTGTTTAAGCGTATGCATGCCAGGTTGTATTCACGAAGCATCCGCGATGCCAGCGGGTAAGAAATTGCGAAATTACCCGCTGTACAGGAAGCGCATCTACACTGCTGCTGTGGGTGTATACCGCTTTTCATATCTTTCCCTTCCATTCCGTCAGTGAAGGGATATACAACAAAAACCCGTGCGTTCAACAAGTAAATTACAGAGAAAAACGCGCAAGTAAACAACGAAGATAATGGGTCCGGCAAGTAGTCTAACACCGACATGTTCTATTTTTTTTGGGAAATTCCTGTTGTTGTACTCTGTAGTCACGTGCCACCGGCCAAGCTGGGGTACCCGGTTCATGATCCTATGACCTGCAACACGCCACATGTACGACATTGCGGCTGATCCCTGATCGATCACCCATCTCCCCGGGAATGGAGGTATTGTACACACGTACCCCCAGAAAGTGCTCATTCGTTTCCCGCCCAGTTTCACTCCTCCCTGCTTCGCCAAGGGGCACTGCGAACGAAGAACATAAACGTACGTTCTATGCGTACGGCAGCACGATGTTCTCTGAATCGTTGCGAAATGATGGCCTCACGGGGAGTTCTTCCCCCTTATTTTTCAGGGATCTGTACAGCAGTAGCTGCCCAAGGTTGCCCCCCCCTGCAGAGTTTCCCAATGAGAAAAAAAGAAATGGGCTCGAGTATAAAAATTTAGGGCCTGTTTTGACGTTAAACAGTTGCACCTAATTGAGCACCCAGTTTTTGGATGGACATAAGTTTGGTTTTGGGCCAAAAAGTGCGTCGCTGTAACACAAATTTACCGCACCCAAGTGTTAATCGAGGTTCAGCAACACCTAAACACGGTGGAATCGCTGCAGCGAGGTGACGTGGTCACCAAACAGTAATATAGAGCGGTAGACAATGTGCATCACACAGGAGCTGTAAGAATGGAGTATCAGCACACACACACGAAGCTAAGCATCAGCAGGTGGTGCCAGTGGTTCAAGCCTTATCCTCAGGCGTGCTTTACAACTTTTGTTTGGACTCTCTCGCTGCACACAACCGGCCGTTGGCTTTTGACATCGCACATTTTGGGAAGCAACCTCCTCAGCAACCCAACCTGCGCGAAAAGTTGACACGCTCACAGAATCATTGCAATGCAGCTATTTCCCAGCAGCGGGCAGTGGGCAATGCGTGTGGGTGCCGCACGGCCAGTGTCCCACATGCGGTCCCGTCAGGGGTAACGCCAACACGAGTTCAGCTTGCCATGGGGTGTGCAAAAAGGGCGAAGTCCAGCTCGTGTACTTCGATTCAGCAAAAAACATTTCAGGTTGCGATTGGTTTTTGTTTTTTTGGTGCGCCCAACATGAAAGTCCCGCTTTTCCGGGCAGAGAAAGCGTCATCGTGTTTTTCCCTGCGAACCCGGTGTCTTTGGCCCCCGATACGCCCCCTCACACTTAGTTTTTGCAGGGGGTCTATTTAAGTGGCAAATTTTAACGTTAAAACAGGCCCTTAGATGGAAAGTTTGAGGCCTCCATCTCGAAAGTTGCTGCACTGTTGTTTAGTTTTGTTGCGAAATTTCCCCTCTCTTTCTAAAAGTTGCGCCCCCCCCCCGCTTTTTATGGGGTATGCGTTAGCTTGAAGACACACACGAGCCCTTGAAATGACTCCCAATCTTGCGAGATCTGAATGCCTTTGGGTTGCCCAAAAGAAGTTGGCCCAGAATATGAAGACTTTGAGTCAGCCCGTTGGTGCCGTGGCTGAAGTGCTTCGATGTTTCGATCAAAACATAAAGGTTCGCTCACTCAAAAATAGAGACGGCCCCGGGGCGTGCTTTTTCATCATGGCGTTTGACACCCCCCCCGCTCCGTGATCGGAGGACGGAGTAAGCCGCGGATATGCACACGACTCAACGAGCTATAATAGCTACCCAAATAGTGTGTCTTCTCCTGGGATGGTGCCTGTTGTCGGTCCATGAGCGCACCCTGCTTACCCCCCCCCCCCCATGCCCTTTGGTGGAAACTGCCTCCTCCTCCTCCTCCTCCTCCTCCTCCTCGCTCGCGGCGTGTATCCCTGTACACAGGTGAAAATGGTCCTTATCCCCAAGAGGGAGGAATTTAGCGAACTGGAGAGGGTGAAGCTGTGGTGGGGGCGAGAGGACTACTCGCAGTTCCGGCAGGTGCTGATCGACTGGAAGCGGGCGAACGCGCACCGCATC